CTTTTATTAATGTCATTATATTCAAAATTTAGTATAGTATCAGTTCATTGGAAAAGCCATTATGGATTTTTCTATGTTTTTATAAGCAAAAAATGCATCATGACTTTCCTGACAACCCAGTAATTTGAGACTTAGGTTTAAAACAAATGTAGGTATTTCCTATAATATGTATGCTATTAGCCTTTAATTCTTCTTAGCCACAAGGTGGCAGGAAATTCCAAGGTAAGTCCTATCTTAAAGATAACCATATTTATTGACTTCTCTTAAAAGTGTCATTCATAGAGCTTTAAATAACAAAAGAAGTAAGTACCAATACATTTAAACTAGGTCCCTAACTCCTCAGCATAAGCGGCCAGTCATCATCTGAAATAAATTCACAGCAACAACAAAACTTACTAGAAAAAAAATCCTAATAGTGGCTAACTCTTCAACTCTTACTATCTTCTAGGCATTATCACATCATCATCATCACAGTTTGGAGGCATTATGAACAGCTTCGGAGGCTAAGGACTATAATTATTTCCACTGTATATACATGCAAGGTAAACCATGATAGATTTCTTTTCTTTTCTTTTTTTGGAGAGGTATTTTGCTATAGGGCATGTTCGCTTGCCAGAAAGAAAGAATCAGAGAGACAGAAAGCAAAACATGCCTTCTCTCCTCCATTCTCCTCTTGAGATCTTGGGCACACACGCACATGTGCCAGCGTGAGTTTAAGCCACTGGGTCCAGGACTCGAACTGCGGTTGACTACGTGGGAATCCAGTGACAGCCATTACGCCAACTACGTCCAGACCATGGCAGATTTCTTGATCAAAGCTGTACCTAGAAAAGTATTAGTACTGACTTTTCTAAGCAATTGGAGAATTTGAAGTTGAACTCTGACCCTTTAAGCTCAATTCACATCTTTACATCCCAGATACAAACTTCCAAGTAGCAGATGCTAACAAGAGAAAAGAATCAACTGAGGACTACCTGAAGATTTAAGCTTGGGACCAGCAGTTAGCGTAATGGCTGTCGCTGAATTCCTATGTAGTTGACAGCATTTCAAGTCCCAGACCCAGTGGATTAAACTCAAGCCGGGCGCGTGTGTGTGCGTGCCCAAGATCCCAAGAGGACAATGGAGGAGAAGGAACTGCGGTGCGGCCATCCCCCCTAGGGGATGATTTCTCGCTTTCTGTCTCTCTCTCGCCCTCTGTCTTCTGGGTGAATGCATGTCCCCTATAGCAAAAACTTCTCCCCCCCACCCCCCCCCAAAAAAAAGTGAGCTTTGGTGACCTGTCAAGGAAGACAGAAAGAAATGACACCATCTTGGTTTAGGCAACAGGCTGTCATGCTAGAGAGGCCACAGAGCAGGCTTGCTGGGCTCAGTGGACACATCGTAGATGGACCAGCCCTCTCCATTTCAAGTCACTTCTTTAGATCCAGAGAAGGGATTGCAGTATGGCCATGCCCGAGGAGTGTTGGTGGTGGGGGGAGTGTGTGATCTCTCACTTTCTCTTTTCTCTCCAGGGAATGTACACACCTAACTTTATCTACATTGCTTCCTAATTCTCTTTCAAATTTGGAATTTGGTGGCGGTTGGGAGGGATACACTATTCTTAGAAGGCAACTTGACTTGATCAGAAAGTAAAATTAGGTGGTCTCTCTCCATATACTTTGCTTTCATCACTGGGAAGCATATTCTTCAGGGCAGGGACTGTGTGTTTATTCATTGACCATTTCTGGTCAATAGTTAGTGCTCAATCATTGCTAACTGATTAACTATTATAATAAGGGCTAGAATGACCACTTCCTTAATGAAATGCCTAATTTATTTGTTTAGGTAATCTAATTACCTAAGTAACCTAAATTACTTTTCCCCCCCTCTCTTTGGGAGTAACAGGACCCTGCCAATCTGTAACAACCACTATTGAGAATTGTTAGAGCAACAATGTCTCCACATTCAGCTTGCTGTCACATTAAAATTATTTTCTTTTTCTTTCTTTCTTTCTTTTTTAAAAAGAGATTTTTGCTATAGGGTATGTGCACTCGACAGAAATAGAAGTAAGAAATCACCTCCCGGGGAGATGGCCATGCCTCAGTTCCTTCCTCCTTCATTCTCTTCTCGATATTTTGGGTACCCACATACATGTGCCCAGCTTGAGTTTTCAGTTGCTGCTGCTGGGTCTAGGACTCAAACAGTGGCTGACTATGTGGGAGTCCAGTGACATAACCATTACACCATGTGCTGGTCCCCACATTATTTTTAACAAGGCCAGTAGATGATGTGGTGGTTAAGGAAGTTGGATCCCCACATGGCCAAACTCATGATTTGAGTCCCTGATCTGGCAACTTGAAAACAGTACATGCCCAAAAATCCTGAGTAGAAGGGATTGCAGTATAGCCACGACCCTTCCCCAGGAAGTGTATGGGGGGGATGATCTCTCATTCTCTCTCCAGGGAGTGCGCACACCTATAGAAAGACTTGGAAAAAAATTATTGTCAACAGTTATTCAGCCTTACTAGCCAGTCTACCCTCTCTTTGTTTGTATTCTAGGATACCTTTTTCTTTTTAAACTAGAGAAGATCTAAACATTAATTTTTTTCTCCTATTAAACTCCATCTTACACCTTTTACAAAGCTATGTAGATTATGTCTCTAATATACAAGGGGACTTTGAGTTATGAGAAAATGAAATAAAGCATAAGTTTATTCTTGTGCAAAAAGAAAACTGAAATTCATACATAGTTTTTTTCAGAACATACATGTCCCATGAATTTTGGAAGACCCCCATATATAATTTCCCATTCAACTAAATAAATTAAGCATCTTTGCTGTTTAGCTAGCTTCACAGAAGTTTTCAAATAAGGCAATTAGAACAGACCTCTGGCAATCTCTCTGTATCCTTGTATTTATCTTATCATTCTCCTTACTTTCTATCCACCAGGGACTTGGCTTTTTCCAGACACTCAGTATAGATCTTTGTAAAGAGTAAACCATCTAAGACAAATGTAGCCTCTGCTTTCTTGCTGTCCTTTTATTTTATTCCTCAATCTACTGAGAGTTCTTCTTACAAGATATGGTTAAAAAACAAAATTTGTTTTAAAAATATTATTTGTTTTATAATTCACACTGAAATTTTTATAACACTCAATACCTCAAACATAAACTGTTAAGTTTTTTAAAAAATGAACAAAGAATACAAACTGAAGAAAGAAATAGAAGAATGTCTTCAAACATATTTCACAGACCAGCAGGTGGCATCATGGTTAAGGTACTGGACTCACATGAACGACTGTGGTTCGAGTCCCAGACCTGGCAGCTTGAAACTCATGCCAGATGTGTGTATATGCCCCAAATCCCACAACAGAATGGAAGAGAGGGAACCGTGGTGTACCCATCCCCATGGGAGGAGATTTCTTGCTTTCTGTCTGTTTCTCCAGCGAACGTATGAACCTTATAGCAAAAATATCTCTCTCTCAAAAAAGGAGACAAAATCCTTCAGTCTCACTTCTAAGAAAAATGAGAATTTACGGGCTGAGATACCACCTTCACTGACTAAATTGGCAAAATTTAATAAAGCATTGTGCTGAGGAGTATATGGAGAAACAGACTCTCACACAGTACTGATGGGAATTTAACCTTGTCCAAGTTCTACAAAGGAGAACAAAATTTAAAATGCAATTCTACTTCCAGGAATTTATCCAACAGACAAACTCTCTCACACACGCCAAGTGACATATGCAAAAAGGAATTCACTACAGCATTGCTCATTAATGCAAGAGACAGGAAACAACCTAAATATCCAGTTTGGGCCTAACTAAATTAATTAGTCTTTCCATATCCATACAATCGAATTCCATGCAACTATAAAAATATTCATATATACAAAACATGCAAACGTTATGTTATCAGTTGTATAAAAAGAGAAATGTGCACATATATTTCTCTTCTGTGTGGATGAAGTAACTGGAGAACAATACTGACGGGATGATTTGCACCATGCACATCTTTAGGCCTTTTACACTTTGAACCATGTGATATTACAATTTTAAAATTGAAGTTCCATTTGTATCACACAAATTTTCATCTCCTATCCAGTCTTCTCTTTTCTTTTGCAGTCCCTCCATGAGGAGGAACTGTCTCTGCTAACCTAGCTTAATTCCTACCTTGCCGCTCACTTCACTCTTCCCCTTCAGCGCTCTGTGGCACCCAGTATGGCCCATTCTTTCACCTTTCCCTCTCCGAGGACAGAGTCTGCTCCTGCCTGCACTGTATTTGAGGGAGTCGAGACTGAGACTTCCATAGTTGGCTGGCACTCAGCGCTGTGGTGCCAGGCACTACTGTATTCTTCCACATTCATGTGCAGAGTAGATTTGTCAGAAGCAGTATTTGTAAGGTCCCCGTTTTCTCTCTCTAGTATTTCAGTCAGTTCCTTAGTCATCTAAAGCCTACATAATTGTCTTTTCTAGGGTAAATTATTTGATCTGTGAAGTTCTGCCTGTCACTTGCATTAAAATATATTTTTCCCATAAATCTAAAAGCAAATTGCATTGATCCAAAGTCTGCACTCCTAAATGACAATGGTAATCATCAAAGAAATCAGTGAGCAAAAAACTTAACACAGAATCCTCCTATTAACTGTGTAATGCAGAATCAACTTACCAGCTTTGGATAAAAGAGCAATAATATTATATGGGTCATACTGTAAGAGGGGAAAAAAAAGACTTTCTGTAATTTGGCAACAATACCCAGACCACCAGGATGCAATTTAGCTCCATGCTATTGCAGATCAGCTATTTCTGGCATTAAATATGGACTGAAAATGTAACAGAACCTTTACCAATGCCGACTGAGAGATGGTCAAATTTAAAAAGAAACACAACTATGGGGCAAACTGTACAAAATAGTTTCTTTCTGCTACCACCATCCCTTTTCCAATCGAGCCATTCACAGTAATGTAATTTACTGGACTTAACCTAGTTGGTACCAATAGATAGAAAGGTTCAAACTGCTTACTGTCTAGCTTGGTCCTTACTGGAATAGGTTACATTTACCACTGCAGTTTCCGAGTCAGTGTTCACTGGAGGAAGAGAAAAAGGAAGAGAATAAAAGTTAGTTTCTTTCTATTTCCTTCCTTTTACAAATTTGAAAGCAATTCAGAAGACGTGTACCTTGCTCACAGCTCTCCACCACTCCATACTGGACTAGTAAACTATCCAGCACCTATCAGGAGGGGGGAGAGAAAATTATAAATTTTGAGTTTCCCAAGTTATTAGCAAGGGTAGAAATATATATTTTTTAAATCATTAATTAACTGCAATGGACAAGAGTCAAAAAATGAACTAGGGCTTTGGACAACATAACTAAAAGAAGGACAAAGCACACTCGATAGGCTTGTGTCTCCTACCATCACTGAACCCCTGAGAATTTAACATCATTCATTATGACTAACCAGGAAGTAAGGAAGGGTAACCCAGCAAAGCGCTCCAAAGCCACAGCTGCATGTTTCATGAGGCTGAAGGCTAAAAGAGCATACATTTCTCATGCAGACATGATCACACCACATACTCCCCCCTTGTCACAAGACAGGGATTCCAGTTAAGAAACTAAAAATTTAAGATGTTTCATTACAAAGAACTTCTTTTTAAAGCTCTAATGGGTGTAACAGAATAGACAACTCTCATGGCAGACTAGACAAAAAAGAAAAAAAAAAAGCTGCTGGTAACTGGTATTCTACCTGAACTCTTTTTATTTATTTTTTCAGAGAGATTTTTGCTATAGGGCACATGCACTCATCAGAAACACAGACAGAGAGCAAGTGAGAAATCACCATTCAGGCAGGATGGTCATGCCACAATCTCTTCTCCATTCTCCTCTCAGGATTTAGGACACATGCGCCCAGTTTGAGTTTCAAGCCAACGGATCTGGGACCTGAACCATGGTCAACTATGTAGGAGTCCAGCACCTTAACTACTATATCACCTGCTGGCTGCCTACCTGAACTCTTAAAGACCGACATACGTAATTATAAACATGTGGTCAGTATAGAGTGTAAAGTGAAGGGAACGTTTCTAAATCTATAGGGAGATAGGGAAATGAATGATCTGAAACTATGTTTTCACCATCTTCCTGTAGTTACTGTATCATGTACGTTATTCTAATGAAGAGGCTGTTAAACAGTAACTGTAATTTTATTACAGTATAAGAGACAGGTGGATGTCTATCAGTATAAACCAAATTTAGCCATCCTTAGCTTCCACTAGCTATAACAAATTTTTCTTTAAAAGATAAACAAAATAAGTTTCTATAAATGTACAGTGAACCATTTACTCATCAATTAATTGTAAAATAGGAAGTGTAGTCCCTTGAAAATGTTTTCTGGAATCCTGAGATGGCTACTGAACTTGAGTTGTGAAATACTGCTTTCAGGGACTAAAAATGAAGATATTCTGCTGAGACTTCTCGCTCTAGGTTCATTTCTAGAGGGTAGGGCTACCTGTGTATCCTTCTCTTCGTCTTTCAGTCTCCGTCTCTCTGTGTCTCTCCCTGTGTCTTCTAATTTAAGAAGACACAGGGAAAAAAAAAACATTTTTTTTAAGGTAAAGTATTCTCTGGGCTTTCAAGCCTCTCCTTTATTGTGCTAATTTGTGCCTTCCCCCCTCCCATTTAGAAAAGGCATAAACCCAGGCCCAACCTGAGAGGCTACTGAACTTGAGCTGTGAAATACTGCTTTCCGTGCAGAGTGCAGTTTTCATTTTTTTCTCTTTTAAAATTAAAATATAAATTTTAATGTCTTTTTTTTTCCTTTCTTCCTTTTTCTTTTCTTTTTTTCTTCTTTCCTTTTCTCTAATTCTTTCCCTTTTTCCTTTAACTTCATTCCTTGGCTGCCCAGCCAACACATCTAGACAGGTCAAAGTGAACAGTATCCAAACATCAGAATACCATTAGGGTTAGAATAGTCCTCTATTCCCACTGAATCTAATGCACAAAGAGTGAACAATAGAATGGATGACAGACTGCAGATTGGCTCTAAATGCTCAGATTGAACTTCAAAATTTAGGAAGAAACACAATCCATCAAATGACTAAGATCACAGCAGAGTCACAAGAAATATGAGAAAGCAAAAAAATATTTCTCCTCTAAGGGAAAAGAATAACTCCTCTTCCTCCTCAGATAGTACAATAGAACTCACAGAAATGTCAGACAAATAATTTAGAATATTCATAATGACAAAGCTAACAGAGATGGAAGAGAAGAGAGACAAGGAACTCCAGAAGAGGCAGGAGAAAGGAGCCAATGAGTTCCAGGAGGTGAGGAAGTTCTTGCAAGATCTGAAAGAAAAAAATTCACCATAAAAAAAAGAATCAGATAGAATAGAACTGTTAGAGATGAAGGCTATAATACAGGAAGTCAAAAACTCCCTTGAAAGTGTTAAAAGCAGACTAGATAATACAAAAAAATTAAATCTCAGATGTAGAAGATAGAATCACTGGCCTAGAAAACTCTACCATGAAGGCCAAGAAAATGGTAAAAAAAATTAGAATAATACATAAGAAATATGAGACACCATCAAATGTCCAAACATCCAGATAACTGGCATCTCAGAAGGCAAAGAGACTCATAAGAGCATTGATAATCTATTCCATAAAATCCTGGAAGAAAACTTTCCAAACCAAGAGAGGCATTCAAAGATCCAGACTCAAGAAATACAAAGGATCCCAAATAGAATCAACCCAAGAAGATCTTCTCTAAGACACATTATAGCCAGATTGACCAAAACCACAAAGACAAGATACTAAGATTGGTGAGAGAGAAACATCAAGTTACTTACAAAGGATATTCCATCAGGCTCACAGTGGACCTCTCATCAGAAACAATGCAAGCAAGGAAAGAATGGGAAAATATATTCAAAGTGTTAAAGGAAAAGCAATATCAACTAAGAATACTGCCCCAGCAAGGTTCTCCTTCATATGGGAAGAAAAGACAAGGGCATTCTCAGATAAACAAAACCAACACTAGACCAGCTCTCTAAGAAGTTCTGAAGGGAGTGCTATACCAGGAGAACTAAATATGGACACACGGAAATAAGAGTTGAAAAACAACCAAAAGGGACCAGCAGTTAGCGTAATGGCTATGTCGCTGGATTCCCATGTAGTTGACCGTGGTTTGCGTCCAGGCATCCAGGACCTGGTGGCTTGAAACTCACGTTGGACGTGTGTGTGCGTGCCCAAGATCCCGAGAGGAGAATGGAGGAGAAGGGACTGCAGCGTGGCCATCTCCCCCTGGGGGCGGGGGGGGGTGTGATTTCTTGCTTTCTGTCTCTCTGTCTCTGTCTGTCTGGCGACCGCACACACCCTATAGCAAAAACCTCTCCAAAAAAACTAAAAAAAAAAACTAAAAAAAAACTAAAATAAAGAAATGGTCAACTTAATGGCAGTGACAAGTCTGAAGTTGAATGTTATATCCCAGAATTTAATTGGTAAGCTCGGACCACAACAGAAGACAGATTAAGTACATGAGACTGAACTGGTAAAATAGAATCTTATGACTTTTGACTAAAGCATTGCTGCTTTTCTTCTAGGCTTTGTTTTCGGATCTAAGGATTTTTGTCTTGGCTTAAGTGGCCGATAGGTTCATGTACCTAGTATTTGAAAAGAATCCTAATCAGTTTCCTGGCTTTAAGTTTTAAGCAAAGCTTTCTTAGCATTTCTTTGATTTTGATTGATTAAAGTTAAAACTGTTTTTCTTGAAATTAAAACATATATTCAAAATACCTATTTAATGACCGCAGTAAGCTATATAGCATCAGGTAGGTGCTACTTTATAGTATATTCATTCTACTCAGAGTTTCATGCCTAAAGTCATACATGTATTCACAAATATGTATATATCAATTGACCTTGCTATTAAAAGTAGATTATTTAAGATAATCTGTCAATCAATAAAATGTGGGGGGAAAAAAAGAATGGAAAGTAACTGAAGACACCAGAGATAGAAGAATGGGAAATGGTAGAGGGTGAGAAATAGGGGGGAAAATATATATACGTGTATATTTGTGAAACTAGAAATGGAAAATTATCAACCATAACATTTATAATGAAGTCACTATGCAGTATATTCTGGATGGGAAATCACATTTTGTATGCTGTGACTATGCCCAGTGAATGAATGTAAAATTAATTAACTAAAAAGAAAAAGAAAAATCAGTCTTATCTAACAGCACTGAAAACTTTTCTTCAACCATTATGTCCTGATAATCTGTGAGAAATAAGATATCAGAGAAGGCCAGTCATTAAACTATTTTTTTCTGTTGGTCAGATATTCATCATGCAATATATAACACAACACATAACCTCTAATTACTCCTGTTTTATTAAACCAGCTCTATGGAGACAGATATGATGTTGCCCGATCAATAAGTCCTGGACAAACTGTATGTTGGAAACTGTGAAGATCTTCATTTACTGGGACCAGCAGTTAGCATAATGGCTATGTCGCTGAACTCCCATGTAGTTGACTGCGGTTCAAGTCCTGGACCTGGTGGCTTAAACTCACGCTGGGTTTGTGTGCATGTGTGCCCAAGATCCTGAGAGGACAATGGAGGAGAAGGGATTGTGGCATGGCCATCCCCCCTGAGGGGTGATTTTTCACTTTCTATCTCTCTGTCTCTCTCTCTGTCTCTCTGGCGAGTGCACACGCCCTGTAGCAAAAACCTCTCAAAAAAAAAAAAATCTTCATTTATTAAACTACATTTTCTCTTATCTGAAGCCACCTTATTTACTTAACTCATGTGAACTTTCAAAACATTTCATCTGTATGAGCACTCTTCTTATAAATTAAATTGGATAGAATTCCTTTTTTTTTTTTTTTTTTTGGGGGGGTTTTTCGCTTTAGGGCGCGTGCACTCGCCAGACAGACAGAGACAGAGAGACA